CAGTTGGTTGGTGGAGGTAGAGAAGAGTTGTCGGTCGTGACTGTGACGTCAGACATAATAATGTGGGAAGTGCCAGACGATAACAGGAGGTGTCGCTTCACTCCGGGTCAACGAATACATCATGTACTTTACTGCAGTGGTTGTGGTGGTGGTGGTGGTGGTGGTGGTGGTTGTGAATTTTGATTTCACGCAACAACAATAACCACAACAACAACAACAACAAAAACAACAACAACCAACAAAACAACAAAACAACAAACAACAAAAAATAACAATAGCAATAACCACAACAACAACGACAACAGCAGCAGCAGCAACAACAACAACAACAACAACAACACCCAGTGGTTCAAGGTTGAGTGCAGTACGTGTTGTGGGAACATATTTTTATTCTAGTTATCTGCGACGTGGTGCAATGTTCCTCATCTCTTCAGTTCAGACGTTGGAATCGAGACTTTTCTGTGATATATTTTTGTTAAAAGTTTTAGTTTTTACGGCACTTGCAACACAATAAAGCCATGTAAGTGCCGAAGATTAGAGGTGTTACAAGAGAGCAACAAACACAAAAAAGAAGGAGGGGAGATAAGGACGACAGATGTTTGATAGGAAAGAAGAAGCAAACCACACCAGCACACGCGCCAACTACCCACTATGTGTGTTTGTGTTTGGATAGAGATATTTATACGCGTTTGACTACAACAGTTAAGTTTGCTGTCAGATAAGATCGTCTTTGTGTCACTAACCAAAAGGATGAGACTGGCTGGATTTGCTCAGGAGGACTAAGGACGCGAAGTCTAAGTCATTCGAAGATGCTTGAACTTAAAGACGCGGTTCTGGGACGCTTAATTGAAAAAAGAAGCACATCTTCGCTTTCCATTTCAAATGTCCGATTCTGTTTTCTGTATCCAAAGCTTGGAGATCCGATCAACAACATGTGCAAACTTTGAAATGATAGGTAAAATTCGTGTTTTTTAAATTAAAAAATTATTTTTTTTGGTATGATAGTTTGAAATGTGCTTTAAAGTTGCCCTGGGTCTGCTGTTGATCGGACGTGATGTGTCTGCAACGTGCTTAAATGTTAATAGTTTACTTTCACTATGCTCCACCAATCGTCATTTATCATCATCCTCATCATCAAGTGCCAGATCTGCAACAAACATCGGCGATCATAGTTCGCTTGTCATTCCTTCGCTCAGAAATCGGCGATCATGCTTCGCCATCCCTTCGTTCGCTTGGATACTCTAAAAACAAAACGAAACAAAAAGAGTTACATTGTCCCGATCTTTCCCCGTCACCCATCTGTGGTAAGCTCTCAAATAAAGCTGTCCATCAAGATAATAATAACATTATGATTTTAATAGACAGAATTAACTTGACTCAACGTCCATCGATAGCCATTATGACGTCACCAGCGCGAGAAATGACACAACGCATTCTGGTTTCCCTGGACCTGATCCTGCTT